GAGCAATAGAGGCTAGAATCCTTTTTCCACCCTCTGAGAGACTGGCAGCCAAACTAAGGTAAGTACTGTATTGGATTCATATTTGATTTCCACATTTTTCTACATACAGTATTACCCCGCCTAACGCGGTTTCACTTAACGCGTTTTATCATATACGCGGTGCCTCGCCAGAGCTGAACTTTCACTTAACACGGATTTTTTCCACATATACGCGGTGAGTGTCCGGCTCGAGACGCTATTTTTAGATTTGCCCCACCCGCCACCCTGCCTGACTGCCTGTTTTAGCTCATAAAATTCATACAAATTACCCGGCCAGAATATAATTTACATTGCTGGAATTCTTATAATTTGGTGATCATTTTGAATATAAACATCATATATTTTGCATTAGACATACAAATTTTAGATAAAATGTTTACTCTTGAGTAAATATGTTATCTTTTATGCAAAATATATGACATTTATATTCAAAATATTCCTGGTCTTACAAGGAATCCAGCAATGTCAATTATATTATCCTAACTTTAGTTTGAGGTATTATTTATTAAAAAAAAGTTAAGTATTCTGGTTTTCCCACACATCTCCTTGGGACGGTTGGTGAGGGGTGGGGGGGAGGGAGGGACCGACCGACCATCTGTTACCCTGTGAAGAATATATTTTTTTTTTATTAACTGAAGACATTTGTTTTGGCTCATAAAATTCATACAAATTACCTGGTCAGAATATAATTTACATTGCTGGAATTCTTATAATTTGATGATCATTTTGAATATAAACATCATATATTTTGCATTAGACATACAAATTATAGATAAAATGTTTAATCTGAGTAAGTATGTTATCTTTTGTGCAAAATATATGACATTTATATTCAAAATATTCCTGGTCTTACAAGGAATCCAGCAATGTCAATTATATTATCCTAACTTTAATCTGAGGTATTATTTAATACAAAATGTTAAAATTTATTTTTTTCACCCCACATCTCTTGAAGGGACGATTGGTGGGGGTGGGGGGGAGGGTTGGGACTGACCGCGCGGTTGGAAGAGGGGGGAGGCAAGGTGGGGTACTTTGATTGACAGATAGTGTCGTGAAGATTATTTTTTTTTTATTAACTGAAGATATTTGTTTTAGCTCATAAAATTCATACAAATTACCCGGTCAGAATATAATTTACATTGCTGGAATTCTTATAATTTGGTGATCATTTTGAATATAAACATCATATATTTTGCATTAGACATACAAATTTTAGATAAAATTTTTTCTCTGGGTAACTATGTTATCTTTTGTGCAAAATATATGACATTTATATTCAAAATATTCCTGGTCTTACAAGGAATCCAGCAATGTCAATTGTATTATCCTAACTTTAGTTTGAGGTATTATTTATTAAAATTTAGTCGTTTTCCCCCAAAAATTTCTCAGAGAGGGAAGAGCCGGCAGTGTAGTGTGAGAAGAGGGGGAGGGAGTTGAGTCCATTATTTGAATGGACATTAACTTGGCGACTGTGTTTCTCTATTTCTCTTAAGTATTAATTGTGTGCATGTACCATCATAAAATTAAGATGTTATTTTTACTACAACATAGTTATGTGTCTTCAAAAAGTGGAGTTTGGGTGTCGGGCCGGTTTCTATTGGAATTAATCCCATATGTTCTGTTGTTCACTTAACACGGGACCCTCTGGGTTCTATTGACCGCGTTAAGTGGGGTACAACTGTACTCTCTTTTAATCCACAAGAGTTAAAATGATGTTCGGGGAAAATCGATATATGTGTTTTTTTTGCGCACTAGGTGCTGATCAGTGAATTACTACTGCAATTATCAGGTTATTGGTTTAAGCGGCATATTTTCATCTCTATAGAATTTTAATGTTTTAAATGTCTTAGGTAGTAAATTACAGTACTGTAGTTCTGTAATATTTATTTATTATAATTATTTGTTAGGATTTTTATTTTTATTTTTTTATTATTATTATTATTATTATTATTATTATTATTATTATTATTATTATTATTATTATTTTGTAACTGATTTCTTTGTTCTTGGGGTATGATATTGAGGTTTTCTTGTCGTTGGAGAACTGAATCCTATTTTTCCCATATGTTCTTTTATTATCTTTACAAAATGCCACTTGACAAATGGTTTTCAGGAACTTAACACATTCATATAGCAAGACATACCTGTACATGCTGGTACAGTACAGTAATGTACAGTTCTGCCCAACACAGATCATTTGTGAAAACACTAGTGAGCAAGTGAATAATCCTGTACAATGGCAACAGACAGTGAACTAAGAGTGTCATGATGAAAGAGTTTGAGGAGATTGTCTTTGTGTTGTTTATGCTCCATGGTTGTATTTGTGTTGAGTACAAGGTTGTCTGTGTTGATTACTACTCTAAGGTTGCCTTTGTGTTGAGTACTGCTCCATAGTTGTCTTTGTGCTGAGTACTGCTCTAAGGTTGTCTTTGTGTTGAGTCCTGCTCCAAGGTTGTCTTTATGTTGAGTACTACTCCAGGTTTGTCTTTGTGTTGAGTTCTGCTCCAAGGTTGTCTTTATGTTGAGTACTACTCCATCTTTGTCTTTGTGTTGAGTACTGCTCTAAGGTGGTCTTTGTGTTGAGTACTACTCCAGGTTTGTCTTTATGTTGAGTTCTGCTCCAAGGTTGTCTTTGTGTTGAGTTCTGCTCCAAGGTTGTCTTTGTGTTGAGTTCTGCTCCAAGGTTGTCTTTGTGTTGAGTTCTGCTCCAAGGTTGTCTTTGTGTTGAGTTCTGCTCCAAGGTTGTCTTTGTGTTGAGTTCTGCTCCAAGGTTGTCTTTGTGTTGAGTTCTGCTAGAGGTTGTCTTTTGTGTTGAGTTCTTAAGGTTGTCTCTGTGTTGAGTTCTGCTCCAAGGTTGTCTTTGTGTTGAGTTCTGTCTCCTCCAAGGTTGTCTTTGTGTTGGTTCTGCTCCAAAGTTCTCTTTGTGTTGAGTTCTACTACCAAGGTTGTCTTTGTGTTTGAGTTCGCTCCAAGGTTGTCTTTGTGTTGAGTTCTGCTCCAAGGTTTGTCTTTATGTTGAGTTCTGCTCCAAGTCTTTATGTTGATTCTGCTCAAGGTTGTCTTTGTGAGTTCTGCTCAGTTCTGCTCCAAGGTTGTCTTTGTGTTGAGTTCTGCTCCAAGGTTGTCTTTGTGTTGGGTTCTGCTCAAGGTTGTCTTTGTGTTGAGTTCTCTCAGCTTTGTCTTTTGTGTTGAGTTCTGCTTTATCTTTGTGTTGAGTTCTGCTCCAAGGTTGTCTTTGTGTTGAGTTCTGCTCAAGGTGTGTCTTTGTGTTGAGTTCTGCTCCAAGTTTGTCTTTGTCATCTTTTATCTGAGTTCTGCTCCAAGGTTGTCTTTGTGTTGAGTTCTGCTCCAAGGTTGTCTTTGTGTTGAGTTCTGCTCCAAGTTTGTCTTTGTGTTGAGTTCTGCTCCAAGGTTGTCTTTATGTTGAGTTCTGCTCAAGGTTGTCTTTGTGTTGAGTTCTGCTCCAAGGTTGTCTTTGTGTTGAGTTCTGCTCCAGGTTGTCTTTGTGTTGAGTTCTGCCCAAGGTTGTCTTTGTGTTGAGTTCTGCTCCAAGGTTGTCTTTGTGTTGAGTTCTGCTCCAAGGTTGTCTTTATGTTGAGTTCTGCTCCAAGGTTGTCTTTATGTTGAGTTCTGCTCCAAGGTTGTCTTTATGTTGAGTTCTGCTCCAAGGTTGTCTTTATGTTGAGTTCTGCTCCAAGGTTGTCTTTGTGTTGAGTTCTGCTCCAAGGTTGTCTTTGTGTTGAGTTCTGCTCCAAGGTTATCTTTGTGTTGAGTTCTGCTCCAAGGTTGTGTTCGTGTTGAGTACTGCTCCACATTTACGTATGTTGATCTGAACAACACAAGCATTCTTTGATCAAGAGCCTTTAATTTAAAAAATGAAAAATTATTATGAGATGCATAAAAACTGGGATGCATCACTGACATGAACTGCTCCAAAAGCAATGGATCACATTGCAGGTCAATAAGCCTAGTTTGAAGGTCAACTGGGGCTTAATGAACATCAAATGAGAAAGGAGAGCCAACCAAGGACATATCATTTTCAGTCAGTTTGAAATCTTGGAATCAATGAGTAAGTTTGGTATGTAAGTCAAGTGCCTAGAAACAAAGAATACTGTACTTTTCCAGGTTGTATAAAAAAACAGTAATCTGTTGCTAAGTTGCAAAATGGGCTAATTGCTTGTTTCCTACCTGATGAAATAAAAGAATAATATCACAAATGCCTTGATGGTTAGTCTTTGATTACCTCAGAGATTTGCATGGAAATTGGCTGCTATATGATGATGGTCCTGGGAACTTTTTCCGTTGTACAACTCCACAAAATCATTTTTCGTCAACAGAATCATCTGACAAGTGTTTTCAAAAAGAGTATAAGTGTCAGGACATTGGAAGTAGTGGGACAAGAATTATTTTATTATTTTTCTAAGGTGCCAGCTCTCACTGACTTCCAAATATTTTAACTGATTTGTGAAATTCCATTGTATCTAACTCTCCTACCTCTCTCTTAACTTGGCAAAGTTGGATCTCCCAAATATCATCTGATACCTCAGGCCAGGGAGAATGAAAACCTGGCACAAATCCCCAAAAAATTCATAAACCATCCCAGCAGTCAGCTGAGGGGTATAAATTGCTCACTGAGTTTGTGATTCACTAACCATGGCTGTTCAGTTACCATCTAATGAAATGATGCTATTCTCCTGGATCACATCATCATCTTTCCTTGCTATAAAAAGAGACTTCACAAACCCAATTCACTCTTGATAAGAATACATTTCAAGTTTACGCAGCTATTCAGTACAGGTGTACTTAGAATATAGATTTCTGAGTTAAATTTTCTTTTGAATTTCCTCCCTTGGTTTTATAGGGATTCTTTGTTCATGGTGTATATCAACACAGTCATCATCATCATCATCATCATAGTAATAATAATTATTGTTGTTAAGAAGAATGCTTTCCAATTTCAGAAAGGATGAAGGTATGCAAGTACCCTTTGATAAAGAAAGTTCAAGCATCATTAAGCTGAATAATGCAACTATACTCTACTTAAGGGAAGTTGGTCGGTATCTAGCACTAGTCTGCATATTGAGAGAAGACAATTTTGACAGACAAGGTAAGCACCCCTTCTTTGCACTTTATGTTGTCATAAAATTAGAAACCTTATATAGCATGAGTTATACATTAAAACCCTGAGTACCAGACTAATTAAGCCACAGTGATGGAATACTTTATTCAAACATCCATATCATCTGGGAGGCACAACTGTTCAAAACAACACCTAGTATATAACACTAATACAGATTGGCTAATTTAAGTTCATAATAAATGAGTAAAAGTAAAATAATCATACCTATGTACAGTACAGTGGTCCCTCGGTTAACGAGATTTCGGTTAACGAGTTACCTTCCATAAGATTCTTAACTTCGGTTAACGAGCAATCCCTCGATTAACGAGTTTCTTACGAGCCGACCTGAACATTTTTTCGCTTGCATTTGGCGGTCCACCAGCTGTAGTATTAGTCCGCCAAGACAGTAATCGGTTCTAGGGCTTAAATTCCTTACCATTTTAGTAAATATCAAGAAGTTTATACTATTCAATAATTTTAAAAGTTTAATATTAAATTTTTAGTCATTTTAACAATTATTGAACATACTGTAATAGGTAAAGTGACTAGTTTCATGCGCGCCATCCAGCCTGCCAACACACCATACAGGCGTCAGTCTTTGTGTCTTTTCAGTGGAGGTAACATCTTGCTTGAGACTCTCTTCAACTAAACGCTTTTTTTCTGTGTTTGCAAGCAAATTATTGGTCATTTTGAAATTTATTTTACATCTTGACAATATATAATGTAGTGCAGTGTTGATTTAAAGAAAATAATCTGAATTACACCAAGAGAACAAAAATTTTATGGGTGAAATGGCACCATGGGGTGACTTCTCTTCCACCCCAATGCCTTCTCTTCTCCCTTCTCCACTCCCATTCTAATTCCCATCATCATGATCATCATCCAGGAGCCTTCTACATACACACCTCAAAGCAAGTGTACTTTTCTACATTTTTTTTTAATTTAGGCAATTTTTGGTGAGCTGGAACCAATTACCCAAAAACCCATTGAAAAAATGGTTTCGGTTAACGAATTTTCGGTTAACGAGCAACCTTCTAGAACGGATTTTGCTTGTTAACCGAGGGACCACCGTATATACTTTCAGTAAAAAAAAAAGAAAAAATTATATAAAGTGTTAATAGTTGTAGGTAAGGTTCTCGATTCTAGAAGCTTTCAGAGCCACAAAGAAGATTTTTTAAGGTTATGATTCCCGATGTATGTGGCATGAATGGACTTGTGCAGTGTGAAAGAAAGTGGACGATGTGAATGTGTATAGTATACCTCTGTCAATGATTGGCTTTGTTCATGAAATCCACTTCATTCTCGGGAACTTCATTGTCATAGGTAGATTTAACTGAGTAAAAGTGAATACTGTAGCTTCCAGTACTTCATTATTCTGTATTTTACATACCGTATACAGTCGGCCCTTAACATACCTGGGGATTAGGTAACAGATACCCGTGAAAGTTAAAAGTCCGTGTACTTTTGCTGCCCCCAAAAACCCTGGCCCCCCATGTCCCCCTGTTGTACCGTACTGTATTACAATACAGTAATAATCTATCCTATCATTAGCCTCATAATCCCACAACTGAATACCATTTGAAAAGCGATTGCGGTAAAATCTTTTGAACGAAAGAAAGCGAAAGTCATTGCTTTCGTCATAATTTTATCCCACTTTCCACTGTAATACGTACGTCATTTCAGCAAAAATATTACTTTTCCATATTCTCAGAAATAAATAGTTGTTTTGTTGAAACGTAATGTACAGTATTTAATATTAAAATGCAAAAAGAGCTATAAAAACAATTAATACTGTACACCCGTAATGTACTGGCTGGCATCTCCACTCGTCCCTGCTCCCGCCAGTCACTGACTCACCACTCCTCCCCGCTCTATCTCTCCGCCTCCTCCACATCGTCACTACTGTTGTATTACAATAATATTCTATCCTAATTCACTTGAATAAGTACTACGATACCATATTTCTGAAAATTTTCATTAAAATCCATCAAAATCATTTTCCTTGTCATCGTCTTAAGCACCAAACAGCTCTTCCCAGTCTGCTCCTTGAACAAGGCTAGAGGGTACATGTTTTTCGCATCGTTTTCAGTTAAAAAAATGTTACATCACATGTATATTTTACCTAAACTGCGCCTGAATGAATATATTCTCAGAAATAAATAGTAGTTTTGCTGAAACATGATGTATTTCAATGTAAAATAGGATAAAATACATGACGAAAACAAAAGACTTTACCTAACCTTCTGATGTTCAAGAGATGTTACTCGTTTTTTTAATAGTTTTCGGTTAAAATACTGTTATATTACAATTATATTATATTCATACTGTGCTTGATATACTACATTCACGGAAATGTAATATTTTTGCTGAAATGACGTACGTATTACAGTGGAAAGTGACGAAAACAATGACTTTTGCTTTCTTTCGTTCAAAAGATGTTACCGTAATCACTTTTCGAATGGTTTTCAGTTAAAAAAACTGTTGCATCACAAGTGAATTAGGATAGAATATTATTGTAATACAACAGTTTTTTAACTGAAAACCATTCGAAAAGCGATTACGGTAACATCTTTTGAACGAAAGAAAGCGAGTCGTTGCTTTCCTCACTTTCCACTGTAATACGTACGTCATTTCAGCAAAATATTACATTTCCATATTCTCAGAAATAAATACCGGGTAGTAGTTTTGCTGAAACGTAATGCATTTCAATGTAAATTAGGATAAACTACATGAAAACAAAAGACTTTACCTAGCCTTCCGATGTTCAAGATATGTTACTCGTTTTTTTAGTAGTTTTCGGTTAAAATACTCTTATATTAGTGATATTCTATTCATACTGTGCTTGATATAATACATTCACGGAAATGTAATATTTTTGCAACTACAATGCTGATGTCAACACAAGCGTGGTTACAGCGAGACTGACTGAGTGAGGGAGAGCTATGCGTGTGTGTGTGTGAGGTTGCGGGAGCGGGCGGTGCCCCGTGTTCGGTGCCGCGCGCGAGTTGAATGGCGCGCGATTTGAATGTACTTCAATTACTTCAATGTACAGAATATTCCTCCGGCGGGGCAATCCGCGTATTTGCAAATCCGTGTATTATAAACCCGCGTATGTTAAGGGCCGACTGTATATATATGTATATTAATGCTATGCAAATATGCAAAATTAATTGTCACGGCTGCTTCAAGGTTACATAGCGCCAAAGTGTGTGCCGGATGGGGAGGGGGGGGTGTGTCTTCGGGAACGTCCTCTTTTTTAATGTTCAGACATGGCAACCCTAACACAAACACACATATTTATATTACAGGTAAAGGAAATTACTGTCTCTATTACGAATGACTCCCTGTCCTAGCTGCGAAAATGCCGGTAACTTTAAAACTGCCCACAGATATTCTTGGGTACATCCAGAGTATCATCCACGAATAATAGAGGGCCGTGAAATAAAAATCCGCGAATTTGGGGGCCCCTGTATTGTATTTTTATTATTTTGTCTTTATTACAGCATTGTATTGCAGTATTATATTTGAGATATTTTATGGGGGTTTCAGTAGAGGTTTTGGTGTATAAAATATAGTTTGGTAACACAAGACCAAGTAAATATCATTAATAATATGTACATCAAAGAATTTGGTAACACAAAGATATAGCTCCTTCCCTGGCTGGTCAGCCTGTTCTTCTATGTATACAAGGCATTAGGAATTTAATAGAGTACCCATACAACATAATAAGTATAGTAATACCCCGCTTAACGCGGTTTCGCTTAGCGCGATTTCACGTATACGCGGTGCCTCGCCAGAGCCGAACTTTCACTTAACTCGGGTTTTTTCCACATATACGCGCAGAGTGTCCGGCTCGAGACGCTATTTTTAGATTCGCCCCACCCGCATGCCTGCCTGTTTTAGCTCATAAAATTCATACAAATTACCCAGCCAGAATATAATTTACATTGCTGGAATTCTTACAATATGATGATCATTTTGAATATAAACATCATAGATTTTGCATTAGACATACAAATTTTTGATATAATGTTTACTCTGAGTAAATATGTTATCTTTTGTGCAAAATATATGACATTTATATTCAAAATATTCCTGGTCTTACAAGGAATCCAGCAATGTCAATTATATTATCCTAACTTTAGTTTGAGGTATTATTTATTAAAATTTAGTGGTTTTCCCCCCAAAATTTCTCAGAGAGGGAAGAGCCAGCGAGTGTAGTGTGAGAAGAGGGCGAGGGAGTTGAGTCCATTATTTGAATGGACATTAACTTGGCGACTGTATTTCTCTTAAGTATTAATTGTGTGCATGTACCATCATAAAATTAAGATGTTATTTTTACTAGAACATAGGTATTGTGTTGGAAAAAGTGGAGTTTGGGGGTCGGGCCAGTCTCTATTGGAATTAATCCCATATGTTCTGTTGTTCACTTAATGCGGTTTTCACTTAACACGGTACCCTGTGGGTTCAATTGACCACGTTAAGCGGGGTACTACTGTATTATTTTGGGGGGGGGGGTGATTAATTTACGATAATGTGTTATTAGCCAAATGAACCTAAATAAAATGGAAATTATGGTGAAATTGCATAGTTTCGTTTTAAGGGGGCCACAGGACGAGGTTGTTGTTTGTTTTGTTTTGTTTTTTACTTGTAAATAGAGGAGTGACTTGCAATAATAGGAGGAATATTTTCTGTCTGCTGATGTTAGCTACAGTGTAACATAGATATAAATGCCAGTACTATACAGGAAATCCTCAATTTTTACACAGAATAATTTACTTGGTTTTGATTATACAGTCATTTGATTATGACCATTCTTTAAAATGCAGTTCAGTATAGTTTCGGTTTACGCGGATTTTTTATACGTGGTTGGTCATTTACGCAGCACCTGTCCAGACACGCCAATTATTAGTGACGCGGTACATTCCTGAATTTACGTGGGAAGCGGCGCAGACAAGCTGCATGCTAGGTCGCGCTTACGCCACCGCTGACGTCAGATGACGTTTCGGATGTGATTGGGCGACACATCCTTACCACCCACGCATCCCCTCCACCGCGAGCTGTGATTGGTTTATTTAACCTTGCTTGCCCAGTCAACAAAACATTACCGAGTTCTTCACCTGCCACCCACCACTGCCAGCCCAAGTCAGTGATAGTGAGGATATGGACTTTAAGGGGTTTGACAAGGAGGCCCTGCTAGCCTCTGTGGTGGATAGTGATACAGGTGATACAAGTGATACAGGTGAGGGCCAATAATCTGCCTTCTGCCTCGGAACCAACCCCCCATCCACGTGTGCCCAGCCATCTCTTCTACTAACGTAAGTGTTAAAAAAACCTAATATTATTGATATTTCTCTTAAATATTACTTGTGTGTACATACCATCATAAAATTAAGATGTTATTTTTACTACAACGTACGTATTGTGTCGGAAAAAGAGTAGTCTGGCGGTTGGCCCAGTCTCAAATTCGATCAATCCCATATGTTCTGTTATTTCGTTTATGCTTTTTGCGTTATTTTCGGACCTCCATGGGTTTAATTGACCGCGTAAAACAAGACTACAGGTAGTCCCCGACTTACGGCTGACTCAACTTATGTCCATCCGCACTTACAACCTGCTCTGACCTTACAACCGTCGGAGTTGTGAGCATTTTTTTTTTCTCCTCCAAATGGCGCGCATATTTTCTATACCGAAACGTTTCCAGTTAATGTCGTCTCCATGTATAATTAGAAAATTATGGGGGCCCCGTGTGCATTCAGCTGACTACATTAAAGGTAAGTGCTCAGTCACACTGTATCCATTCCTCATTATTTATTACTTTTACTGTACTGTATTTTATTTGTAGATTTTTTTTATTTTTTTTTATTATCATCTGTCGGACTTACGACCATTCCGACTTAACGACCTGGATTTGGGGCCCTAACCCCGTCGCAAGTCGGGGTCTACTGTATAAACTCAGTTATACACTACAGACATTCCCCAATTTATGAAAGGGTTCTGTTCCTGAAAAACCTTTCATACATTAATTTTTCGTGAATTGGATTCCATTTTCGACTTGATTTTCTTTATTAAAGATGAGATATACAGCATATGTTTCCTGTGAAAAAAACTTCCCCAAAATGTCTTAAATTCCACAAAACATGTTTTTAATTATGATTTTTATTGTACGTAATGATTGTAAGCCAATAATAAACAAGTGAGTGAAATGTTTGTAGTACTGTAATAATTCCATACTCACAAGATATCATAGTGCTTGAAACCTACTGAAAAACTGTGCCACTAGTTATGATGCAGTGCAAGACTGCAAGACCCAGCCAAGACATATGGTTTTAATTTTTTAGTGACACGAACAGTAAGAGTACTGCACCTTATGTACAGTATACTGTATGCTTTTTGAGATGTTTTGTATAAACTGGATTTGATTTTTGTTGTGGCAATAATAAAGGTTAACTTTCTTGTCATTCTTAGGACTGCTAGACCAGTTTACATATCTTGTTTTCCAAATTTATTATTTACAGAACTTCCATTGATTAAAATTATCAAAACCATTTTCACTATCTTCATAATATTTATATATTTATGTTGGTACAGTATTTTGTTTTCCTCAGGGTTAATAGACTACAACTTCCTGTGTTTCCGTAATGCAATCCAAGAGGTGTTCGATGTACGGACAAATCAACTTCAACTTCAACAGCTGACCAACATCACTTCTTCTCCACACCTTCAGAACAGCCACACCAATGGTCCTACCTCCTAGTACATCTTTAATAATTGTAACTTGCTGTCATTTCTGCTCATTTTCACTCATGGGTGCATGAGATGAACTAATAGCATTTTCTTTTGCATCACTGATTTGAAATTGATTTGTGGACAGTCACATGAATGTTTGAGCATAGTAACTCTGCAGTGATATAATTGATGAGTGACATACAGAAGTAAAACACATTTTTTGGTCAAAGTTCAAGAATAAGAATAATTGAATAACTACAAATAAATTAAATGTGTGGGTGTGTGTGTGTGTACTCCTGTTTCTAGTTGACCAGCTTTAAGTGAGAAAATGCTTGAAAGAGTAAAAAAATATATATGGATGGAATTTCCAATTGAGGGAAATGGAGACAGGTAGTGATAGAACTCAGAATATTTTTGCTCATCTTCAAAATAATCAGATGTTTCAGGTACGATATATATACCTTATCCATCATTACTTGATAAAGATTTCTAAAAGATATCTTTCCAGTGTACTGCTACATGTAAATTTGTGTACCATAGATGAACACAAGGCTTTTAGAGATTTAGTTTTTAACTTGATAAATAATTCTAAAAATGTTGAAGTAAATATTAACTTTAAATCACCTGTAGAATAGTTGTTTACAATGAATAGCACAAATTTCCTCTTGATAATATAATTTATGTATCCACAGAGTGGTGTGCACTTGATTGGTTGCTTTCACTTTCCCAAAATCAGGAACCCATGTCCAATTCACAGCTGGGTTTCTTGGAGTGCTTCAGGCATGAACCTGTTACCTTTAAGGTGAGTCCATATGTGCATACATTTTGTTGCCAACATATGATCAACAAGACGAAATGAGGCACAGGGTTCCGACTGGTATGGTGTGGCCACTTGCACTAGATCGGTGTTTCAACGTGTTGATCACATGTTGGGGACAAATTGTACACACATGTGGATGCACCTTTAGGATGGCAGGCAAAATGCTGTATTCTCTTGGGTCTGCACCCCTTTTGACAAAAAAATATTATAAATATCTAAATGTAAAAAAAAATCCCTGGAAACTATTCTTTCCAATATTTATCAAACTCTAATTCATGTGTAACATCATAATTTTAGATATTTTGAGTATTCTGTCAGTCAATAAGGATACCAGAATAGCTTTAGTGTTTAGTGGGAAAAACATAAAGTCAGACCTGGTGACTTGACAGTGTATATTGCTTTTCTGTGAACTGAAGCTAGAAAGCTATTATCTTTTGTGAATGTCAGTACAGTATCTATAAACAATACATATGGTGCCAAATACATTATTTATTTGAAGTTGCCATTTTTAGAGGGTGTGGAGACTTAATAGAGACAACTCTCACTTTGTCCTAAAGGTTGCCACAATTCACCCACCTTACATCTCAGCTGGGAAGTGAAGGCAGTTGAGTGCTTCCTTGAATACCAAAGGCTTAGTATGCATTGTGTCATATCCACATCATCTCTTAATGGGCTGACTTGCCTATGTGGCCTATTTTCATTTTCACGACAAGCTGTGCTCTCAAAAGAAAATTCAGTTGATTGCAATCACCTCTGCAGTTAAGGTTGGTGATATAAAGGTTCCTTTATATCCATAATTGGTATATAAATTTACATATAGCAGTTATGAGGTTGTTCACATATTGGAATGATTCTTAGAGCCTTTTTTATTCTCATAGCTATATATTATGGGAGATCCTCTAGGACAGGTAACTATTTGAGTAAACCAATGGAGAGTATAAATATATTTTAGAAAAAGTTCATGATAAAATTATGGCTAAAGCTATACAGAGCGACGTGTGGTGGGGGTTCCCCAGATTGTGAACACAGTTATTTGAGGCCATGAGGAATGGAGGTTAATTTCAATTGTTCTAGGGACTTTCGATTAAATTTCTGAACTTCTCAGTTTCCTTATTTTTCATGTTTTACTTATAAACTATTTTTCATAATTTGGAATTATGGTAAGTTTTATTAATTTGTCCTCCCAAAGCCAGAATATTCTGGAAAATTCCGGCTTTTGGAATGATTTTCCGAGAAAATTTCAATTCCGGCTATCGGAGAGTTCCGGGTTTGAGGGATTCCGGCTAATGGAGATATTACTAGTAATAACATAACAACAACTGATTTTCTTCAAACAGTTCAGATAAGCAGTGTTATCTCCACCCCCCACCCCCTTAATATATTCGCTTTTTTTCACCATAGTAACGAAGATGAGCTGGGACGCCGATCTTCTCCCTTACTCAGCCAGCTAAATCATGTGCAAAGAAATGTATGTTCCCATTACGTGTTTGCCCTTAGGATTTTTTTTTATTTTATTTATTTTTTTACAATATGTATGTAGGATGGGGTGTGCATGTAACTGATTAACAATAAATGAAGAAAGTTACGTGTATCTACCTAAAAATACAAGTTGACAAACAACCATAACACCTCACAGTTTGGCCAAGTAGCCTGGTGGTTACAATGATGAGTCTAAGTTGGCTACAATGCTGTGATTAATCTTTATTAAGCACAATTATATGAGTAAACACTAATAATAACAGTAAATCCAGTTAAATATGGCAGGGAAGGAGGAGAGTTACAACTGCAGATGACACTCTACCTAGCAGTCAGTGACTGACCTTATTTCTATTTTTATTTTATTTTTTTAATGTGTCACAAATTACCCTGCGTCTAATGCGCCCGTGTTACAGATGGGAGGTTTAGCGCTGTAGGCTGAGGTGCCTAGCGAGGGGATCTGGGACGAACAGTAGTCCACTAAACACAAAAATTGTGTTACTAATAATAAAATACTGAAAAACAAGCCAAATTATCACAATCTATTTTCACAACCTTACAGCAAATTTGCCGAAGACATAAATAATGACTTACATTGGCTTAGCAGCAGAGGGAAGCTCACAGCATCTCACTGTACCTCCTTCCCCAGCATACGTAACCCACACCAGATACATGTCTTACATTATTTAAGGACTGTGTTACCTTTAAGAAACATTTGTTTATTATCTAAATGAAAAATGCCCCTTGATAGATTAGAGAAATGTTAACATAAAGTTCAGCCGCCAGTCAGCCATTTGCAACGAGTCGATGACGCCAAAACAGTAGCGATGGTGCTACACCCTGGTGGCAGATCACGGCAAAACAAAACATCACAGCCAAAAATACGAGTTTCATTTTCCGTTGGTAATTCTCTTGACCAAAATATAAACAAGCCACATAGCTGCTCTGATCAGAGGTAGAGTTGGGTTAGTATAATGTTACTATATATAATTTCCTACTTGATTCCAGTATATATTGTATTTACATGCACAAAATCATATTTCCCCCAACAAAACCACTTTAAAATCACTCAGTAATTGTATGATGAAACGTACTAAAAAAAAATTCCACAAAATATCCTTGTAAAATAGTGGTGCGTCTTATGCGGTGGTGGGTCTTATACACCGGTATAAATAATAATAATAATAATAATAATTAACGGTTTATTGAAAGAGCTTGGCAGCCAGAAGGCTGAAAATATACAGTTACATATTTGGGGAATGGGTTACGAATTACAAATAATATACAAGTAACATAAGTGACACAAATAAGACATATAATAACTAGATGGGGAAAAGCTCAAACTACAGTTCATTTCAACATAGTGACAGTGTAAGGAGCGGTGTTTACTGGGAGTGAGTACACTGATTTATTACAAGTTATTGATAATTTTTACAATGGTTGGGACTGGGCTGTTCTTATAGCGATCAGTTCGTGCACGATGGGCTGGATGCGGTTGTGGTGTCGAACAGCAATTCTCGGACAAGGGATCTCAGGTGGTAGTAGGAGCCGGTGTCGGGGATGGTGTAGAAGCTTCTTACCAAATTTGCAGATGAGATCGTGGTGATGGTCAGTGAGAGTCGAAAGGGTCAGTGTGTTGAGCGCTTCTTGATATGTGGAGTAGGAAGGGAGAGAATAATCTTGCATGCCTCTTTTGCACTTTTTCTAGGTGTTTACGTTGTGTGGCATTTAGGGAGAGAAGACCAGGTGGGGGAGGCATAGGTGAGCTTGGGAAGTATGAATGTTGTGTAAACACTGAGGAGCTCGTGGTGCAGGAACTCCGAGGGACTTGAGTCGGCGGAGGAGGTGGAGACGGAAACTGGAGGATTTGACAACTTCACTGACGTGTGGTTTCCAATTTAGTTTGTTGTCTATGGTGACGCCGAGGAGCTTTGTGGAATCTACAACCTGGAGTGTGTTCGGACCTAGAATAATGGAAGGAGGTGGGACAATGTCGGAGGAGAGGTTGATGTGCATAACCATGGTCTTGGTATGGTTGATGGTGACATGGTTGTTGGTGGCCCAGTTTTGGAGACTGTTCAATAAATCCTGAAGGGCGGCATAGTTGGGAGCAGAATTGTGTGTGTGTGTGTGTGTGTGTGTGTATATATATATATATATATATATATATATATATATATATATATATATATATATATATATATATATATATATATATATATATATATATATATATATATATATATATATATATATATATATATATATATACACACAGTAGTACCCCGCTTAACGCGGTCAATTGAACCCACAGGGTACCGTGTTAGTGAAAACCGCGTAAGTGAACAACAGAACATATGGGATTAATTCCAATAGAGACTGGCCCGACCCCCAAACTCCACTTTTTGACGACACACAACTATGTTGTAGTAAAAATTTTATCTTAACTTTATGATGGTATGAACAAACAAGTAATATAGAAGAGGTTAGGTTAGGAAAAATAAAGGTTAAGTTAGGAAAAATAAAGGTTAGGTTAGGAAAAATAAAGGTTAGGTTAGGAAAACTAAAAGTTAGGTGTAACACTTACGTTAGTAGAAGAGATGGGTCGGCATACGGGGATGGAGGCGGAGGGGAGGGAGGGAGGGAGGAGGAGGAGGAGGGAGAGGCGAGGCAGGCGGGAGCGGGTGGCGGGTGGGGCGAATCTAAAAATAGCGTCTCGAGCTGGACACTGTGCGCGTATATGGGTAGATGAACCGCGTTAAGTGAAAGTTCGGTTCTGGCGAGGCACCGCGTATATGAGAAATCGCGTTAAGTGAAACCGCGTTAAGCGGGGTACAACTGTACTTATATATATATATATGCAAGTAAATCACTGTAGGTGCGCGTGATCTAGGTATATGCTGATAACCACAAGGAAAGAAGAAAACACGAAGTTCTCAAGCGCTTTCGTGTAATTCACATCTTCAGGGGTGAGTACAGACTAGAGAGAGAAATACAAATCAAGGTGTATATATACAGAGGAGGGTGAGAACAGGTCCACAATGGTCAGGTATTAGGTAATGACCCTACTAATCTTTAAATAGCACACAACGGTTGGTGGTCAGGTCAGATGGTCAGGTGACCCGACCTTCTCACCTGGTTACAAATCTTCTTAATTACAAAATTGTCCAGCTTGTACATGCTGTTACTCAAATTCATGTTGAATGCTTCGGTATGTTTAATAAGACTAGATTCTATGATGTTCCTACTATCAATTGAATTACATGGTAATATTGAGGAGGCATTATCCCAGTCAATGCAATGCTTGTTATCCCTCAAATGAACAAACAGAGCATTGGATTCCTGGCCTGTCTTAACACTGTATTTGTGTTGTTTAATTCTAGTTGCAAGATCTTTACCTGTCTGGCCTAAGTAAAACATTACATTCCTTGCAAGGAACTTTATAAATGCAACCAATTGTGTTGTTGGGGGAGTTCTTGATTAACATTTGTTTAACAGTGCATGAGTTTTTAAATGCCACATTGACGTTCCAGGTTTTTAGTTGTGAAGGAATGTGTGAGAAATTTTTGTGAAATGGTAATATTAAGATATTCTTATGGTCATGGGTGGGCTTGGGATCAGTTCTATAAAAAGTTTTCTTAGTAATGTTTAGGCATTTGTCTATGAAAGATCTAGGGTATTTAAGGTTTGAGCCAATATTATATATATATTTGTATTCCTCATCGATGAATTCCGGACTGCAAATTCTCAAGGCACGTAAAAACATTGTTGAAAATACTGACTGTTTGACTTTATTATGGTGGGCAGAATAATAATGAATGTATGAACACACATTAGTTGGTTTTCTATAAATACTGAACTTAAAAGTGTTACCTATTCTGTGTATCAGACAGTCTAGGAATGGCAATTTACAGTCTTGCTCTAATTCCACAGTGAATTTGATCGAGGGGGCTAAGTTGTTAAGTTGTGGCAGGAAAGCTTTTAGGTCCTCATTACATGGCCAGAGACATAATACATCATCAACATATCTAAACCAGACTGCTGAGGGTGGTAAAATATTACTTAATAGTTTCTTTTCAAAGAATTCCATATATAGGTTGCTTAATACAGGTGAGAGTGGATTACCCATTGCCATACCAAATTTTTGAGCATAATATTCTCCATTGAATTCGAATTTGCAATCCTTAATACATAGTTTGATGAGTTCGATGAAGTCGTCTTTCGAGACGGGCAGTGAAATATCATCCAGGGAATCTATGAGGAACTCTAGTAAATCATCAACTGGGACCTTTGTAAAGAGTGATGTTACATCAAAACTGACCAGTTTAAAATCATAATTAATGTGTAAGTTATTGAGTTTATCAACCAATTCCATATTATTCTTGATATTGGAGTTAGAAATGTTGCCAACTAGGGGATTTAGTAAAGAAACTAACCATTTAGATAGTGTATAAGGGATTGACCCAACTGAGCTAATGATGGGCCTTGCTGGGTTATTGGGCTTGAGGGTCTTGATTACACCGTACATGTATGGCAGTGGAGGGGACGTTGAAGTAAGATGTTTAATGAGAGTAGCTTTGCCTCTCAATAGGGACTTCAGTTTTTTGTTAAATTGGGTGTTGACA